AGGCAATATGGCGCCGTGCGCGCGCTCGGGTTGGCACACGAGGTGCCCGGAGGAAGTGGAAACCTGTGCCACGTCGCTACAGGCTTCACCGTTGCAGGCGGGCGGCGTCTCTGGCTGGTGTCCGCAGAGGTTTTCTCCAAAAACAAAAAAAAAAAACCGCTGGAGTCCACCAGCAGCGCCGGAATGCAGGAGAGGGGAAACAGCAATCCACCTACCCTTGCCGCTGGTCTCCGGGCTGCTCCGGTGGTCTCAGCCTCCAGTTTCCTCTGCAGCCTCCTCCCTTGGAGTCTCCCGGGGTCTCAGGTACCCCTCCTTCCGCCCTTGTCCGCTGTATGCTCGTCTTCTTGCTTCTTTCCTCTAATTTTGCTAGAATCTGTCTTTTCTGCAGAGACACTCTGTCTGGCGGTGTTATTCGTCCGCCATCTTGCTCCGCCCCTCAAATCAATACTTTCTAAAGAGAATTTTCGTTTTTTTTAGCCTATCATTTTAATTCTTCAAGAGATTTTACTACTGGTGTTTTTTATTGCACTCCTTGTAATTTCATTCAAGCTATTTATCTAAAATCATTTCTTTTTTTTTTTTGATCAATACTTCATATTAGGCCAGGCGCGGTGGCTCACGCCTATAATCCTAGCACTCTGGGAGGCCGAGGCGGGCGGATTGCTCGAGGTCAGGAGTTCAAAACCAGCCTGAACAAGAGCGAGACCCGCCTCTCTACTATAAATAGGAAGAATTAATTGGCCAAGTAATACATATAGAAAAATTAGCCGGCATGGTGGCACATGCCTGTAGTCCCAGCTACTTGGGAGGCTGAGGCAGGAGGATGCTTGAGCCCAGAGTTTGAGGTTGCTGTGAGCTAGGCTGACCCAGGCACTCACTCTAGCCAGGGCAACAGATGAGACTCTGCTCTTCAAAAAAAAAAAAAGAAAGTATTGATTTGCTGCTGGCATTCTATATTCTTCTTCTGTGTTTAAATGGAGGACTCGTATGCACACCTTTCAGCTTGTCCTCTGGAGCCTTTGGCGCACATGAAATTACCTTTTTAAGTTTATTCCAAATTAAATTCGCTGTTGTATTCAATGAGTCATCATGCAGATCCACTTTAGGTATGTCTGGTAATAGAGGCCCAATCATAACCTCATTACTACTCGTGCTTGGTTCAAGAAAAGTTCCAAGTTTACGATCATCTTCTCTTCTTCTTTTCTGCTCCTGCAGTTGTGTTGTCCTAGGCATAAATCTGTCAGCCGCCTCTGAAGGAGTAATAGATTTTTGTGTGCCAGAGTAGGTCACTGAGTTTTTAAAAGTGTTCACCTGTATTTTCTGCAAGGAGTCACTATGGTAACTGCTCTGTTTGATCATGGTTTCCACCATCCTTAGAGGAGTTTGATGCTCTGTCCACATGCTCCCTGGATGAAAACGTACATTTTGAGGAGAAATAACATAAAGGCAATTCACAAGAATAAGGAAGACCAGGATTTGAGTTCCCTGTAGAAGCATTCATAGCAGCTGCACAAAATCCAGACATCTCTGAGTGGAAGTCTTGTCTAAAATCTTTTGTGTCTTTTTGCTCTGCAACCAGTTTCTTCTTTGTCATGTAATGGTCTTTATTTTGAGTAGTTCTTGCCATGTATACCTTTCTTTCATCTAGTTTTTTTCTAGTTTCCTCAATTGTTTCAAATTCTGGAGCATAGCACACATGAAGCAATCCTCCAAAGAAACTCTGTTCATCCATTTTTCTCTCGGCTGTCCTTGCACTTCTTAAGTTCATAAACTTAATAAGATAAACTTCAGTAAAGTCTCCTGCTGGGTATTCATCTAGAGCATTATATTGTTCAATTGCACCATATAGAGCAAATTGCTCAACTAATTCTTTCATGGCTCCCACTGCAGGAACTCCTTGTATTAATAAGTACCGCGATTCCAAATTGATTGTATATACCTTGACAGCGCGAGGCCGTCGTCCCTCTCGGTATTTGGCTCCCGTGTCCCATACCTCCCTCTGGATGTAATGATCGACTAAGCCCCCAAGCTCCCCCTCCTTTGTAATTCTTTCAATATTTTGAACCTCCATACTCTGGGTTCACACGGAATCCCTCCCCTGCCTCAGCCTCCCAAGTAGCTGGACTACAGGTATGCGCCACCATACTCCAGCTAAGTTTTTCTATATAATTTTTAGTTGGCCAATTAACTTTCTTTCTATTTTTGTTAGTAGGAGGCGGGGTCTTGCTCTTGCCTGAGCTGGTTTGAACTCCTGGGACCTTGAATGATCACCAGCCCCAGCCTCCCAGAGTGCTAGGATTACAGGCGTGAGCCACCGGGCCTGGCCATCTAGTTATACTGTTGGATTATTCTTATTTTACATCCTATGAATTTCTGTTTAGGTCCTATTATATTCTCCAATTCTTTGTTAAAATTTTGCAGACATCACGTCTTATTCATTCTTTCTTTCTTTCGAGACAACGCTCATTCTGCTTGCCCAGGCTTTGAGTGCGTGGCGTCAGCCTAGCTCGACACGCAACTGCAAATCTCTGGGCTCAAGCAATCCTATCTGCCTCAGCCCTCCCAGCAGGCCATGGACTAATAGGGCATGGCGCCACCATACCTGGCTAATTTTTTCTATATACTCTTAGTTTGGCCAATAATTTCGTTCGTATTTTTAGTAGAGACTGGGTCGTCGGTCTTTCTGCTCAGGCTGGTCTCAAACTCCTGACCTGGAGCGATCCTCCAGCCTTGGAATCCCAGAGTGCTAGGATTACGGTGCCCGGCCATGTCTTATCATTCTTTTTTTTATTTTCTTAAACTTCAAATGCAGAGTCAGAATCTTATCATTCTTTAGCATAGTAAACATACACATCTTACAGTAAGTCTGATAACTCTAATATATATTACTCCAATATATATGTTTTAGCCTTTAAAACAAAAAGGTAAAACAACAGATAAAGATGAATACTTCAACGGCTGGGTGCTGCGATGAAGCGCTCATGGCCTGCTAACTCCTTAGCACTCTGGAGGACCGAGCCGGACGGATTGCCTCGAGGTCTGCAGTTTGGAAGAACCAGCCTGAGCAAGAGCAAGACCCGTCTCTACTAACCAATCACAGACAGAAATTAAATTGGCATATACACTATCATATCATACTAATCATATACCTATTAGCCCGGGCATGCGTGCGCCGCATGCCTGTACGTCCAGCACGCTACTCCGGGAGGCTGAGGCAGGAGGCGATCGCTTGCACGCCCACGGAGTTCTGAGGTTGCTGTGAGCTAGGCTGACGCCCCGGCACTCACTCTAAGCCTGGCGCAACAGCAGTGAGACTCTGTCCCTCACAAAAAAAAAACATACCGTCAAGCAAAATA